CTTACCTCCTGGGGTACAAAGATCTTATCCTGGTGCCACAGAAAGCCATCCTGCCTTCTTAATGAGTTCTGCTCAGGTACGGCACACCGTGCAGATGCCTGTTCAATCAAAAGCTTCAGACTGGGCTGAATCAACAAAAAATTTTGGGCCGACAGGATGGTATCGGGGGCAAAGTTTCAACTGAATCTGGGAACATACGTGATAGAGCATCTGCTTTCCCATTCATTTTGGATCCTGAGCGGTAGGTCATGTGAAAATTGAAGATGGAGAAATATAGGACCCATCTAGCTTGCTGCGGTCTTAGGCGCTTGGCAGATCTTAAATATTCTAGATTCTTATGAACTGTGAAGATCATGATTGAGTGACTAGCTCCTTCCAAAAGGTACCTCCATTCTTTGAACGCCATTTTGATCTCCAAAAGTTCCCTGTTGCCTATGTCGTAGTGCCTTTCAGCTTGGCTTAGTTTCTTAGAGCAAAAAGCTACCCAGATGGAGCAGAGCTTTTGGGCCTTGGCTCCTGTAGCCACCTCCGATGCTTCCACCTCCAGGATGAAGGAAGTGTTGGCTCTGGGTGTTGTAATACAGGAGCAGAAGTGAACTGCTTTTTTAACTGCTCGAAGGCTGTCTGTGCTTCTTGGCTCCAGAGAAAATGTGTATGCTGGCTAGTGAGTTGGGTAATGGGGGCTATAATGGTTGAGAAGCCCTTGATGAACTTCTGATAAACGTTGGCAAATGTTGGCTGCCCCTGGAAGCTGCTCAATAGGACAATAATATGATTGATGAGATGGTAAAGTGTCAGCTTTCTTTTTATCAAATACATCAAGGAAATGGGTGGTAGGCAGGGGGAACGGATTGACTGGCATCTGATGTAGGCTGAACTGAGAGGCACACAGGGAAATTGGTGGGTGTGGGAGTGCCACAGTGCTGAATACAGTAATTTGATGGGAAGGTGACTTCTTTCTTGAGCCAGTTGATTTGTGGATTGTGAGCTTGCAACCAAGGTATTCCTAGGATGGCTGGAAACATGGGAGATCTCAGGATGTCAAAGCAGATGAATTCCTGATGGACAGAGTCAGTTGTGGCTAGGATGGGAATGGTTTCTTGGGTAACGGGTCCTGAGCTAGGAGCGGTGCCATCTGCTAGGAGTACATTAAACCTTTGTGTTTTAGGACGAAGAGGAATACCTAGGTTCTGGGCAAGGTTGATGTCCAAGAAAAAACTACAGGCTCCCGAATCAATGATTGCCCACAACTTGACTTCCTTTCCAGCCACCTGTAATGACATGGGTAGAACGACATGGGTGGTTAAGGTTCTGGATAACTGGAGATATGAAGGATGAGGCTGGCTGGACTTACTTGGTCGCACTGGGCAGTTGCGTAAGAAATGGCCCATGGCCCTGTGACATAAATGTAAGATTTGAGTAGTTGAGATGTGATCAGTAGAAATATGTCATTGTAAATTTAGTTTCAGTCCATGTTATTAAAGATAAGTGTTCCGAATTCAGTCAGAGACATATGTTCACCAATTAGCATCTGAAAGGACAGAGCATGTCAAAAAAACGTTGTCACCTATGTAGCCAGAGATTGCCACCTTCTTGAAATCTAAAAGAAGAGCTCCAACCATTTCAGCTTCGGGAAGCAGCAGGAGACCAGGAGAGGGCTCCGCTTTGTCTGCTAGCTGTGATTTATATCCACAGATCAGAGGAATATATTTCATCTCTCATAAAAGATACAATATTAGTTGCAGAGAGATGAAAATACTTCCTTCTGATTGGACACACTGTAAGCTACATCTGCATGTAAAACTGTATTTATAGCCTCTGTAGAATCCCAGAGAAATGCAGAAAACAGTTATATGGCACCTGATTGCAACAGCTGAACAGTGATTGGTACTGTCGCGATCAGATTGATGTGCTGGTGTCGGAAATTCTATCCCTGACTTGGTGATTCAAACCGTTCCTGGTCCAATCGACTTTGGGTACTTCAGTACCCAGAACGTCCTGTGGGCTGGTATAGGGTTGATTGGCCAAGGGCTAATGTCCAGCCTATGTCCATATTTCAATAAATTGAGGACCCTGAGATATGGACGGGGTGATTCGTACAGAGCCATTTCTATTTTACTGGCGAATCGCGGACTTTCTCTAACTTGCTCCAGTCACAGGATAACTCTTAGTAAAAGTTTTATTTCTGTTTTTATTCCCTTTTATTTTATAGTCAATAGCCAATTGTGTGTCTTTTTGTATTTTCTGTATTATTTGTAACTTTTTATACTTTGTACATATTCTATGCACAGCCCACTTTCGGGATATTAAATCATAAAGTTAATAAGTGACTTCTGGATACTTAAGCTCGGGCTCATATCTCCGGAGAGATTATTGTATTACACAGTGTCTATATATGCTCGGTCTAAGTTCATTGCCAATCTGTATGCAATTGCACTGTGTGTTGGCAAATTGCATGCAGATTGTAAAGTAGCAGATCTGCCAGACGGAGATCTGTGTGTGTGGTGGCCCAGCAGACCAGTCTGCCGACAAACTGTTGGATGGTGGCAAGCTACCGTTTTTGTTGTGTGACTGTGTGGGGGGGTGTGGACAGTGGAATCGTCATTCACACCGGGGTTCTAGCTTGTAGGATAGCTGGAGGAATGCTAGAAGTGTTTGCCAATTGCTAGACTGCTCCCCAACCCTTAGATTGCACCAGATTGTATATAAGATTTGTATCTGCCTGTGTGTGGTCAGCCAGCTGGATTGGAGTGGAGTCTCCCTCTAGTAGTGGCCAGATGCAGTGCGGGCTGTGAATGCGTATCATGGCCAGTCTTATATGCTCAAAGTAAGACCCCCTCATCCCTCTTTACCCCAAGTCACGGCCGGACGTGCATACCTCGGTTAGCTAGGCGCCGTGGGCATGTGTGTGCGGTGTTTGGATCCATGACAGCCCCGCAGTAAAGGCATAGGTTGCCTTGCCGTCTGCGTAATCTTTCCTCTGGAGATAAGGCAGGTCAGAGAAGGCCAATTTGCATGGGTTTTACTTCAGGAGTGCTGATAGGCGGAGAAATAGGGACAGAATCCACTGGTCTTGGAACCCTTGGCAAAACCCTTGGCAAAGGGTCTGGGTATGTTCAGAATGTCTCTCCTGTAGCCGTTGATCCAATTAGGTAGCGAGTTGAATTAGATTCTCCAAAGGAGGGAGCCTCCACCCTAGCTAATTCGTCCTTGAGGGACTCAGACAGACCTAGATGGAACTGGTATTTTAGGGCTGCGTCATTCAACCCGGTATTGGCGGACCATTTGCGGAATTCCACAATGTAGTCCTCCACATGCCGTCGGCCTTGTTGTAGAGCATGAAGGGTGGATTCAGCAGTAGAGGTCCTCTGGGGGTCATCATAAAGAGCTGCCATGGCTTCAAAGAATGTGATCACTGAGTTTAGCGCTGGTTCTTTTTGTTCCAGTAAGCTGTGTGCCCATGATTGAGGTTCGTCAGATATGAGAGAAATGATGAACCCCACTTTAACTGCCTCAAGTGAGAAGGTCCTGGGTTGCAGTGCAAAATACAACTCACAAGCATTCTTGAAGGCTCGGAATTTACGTCGGTCCCCAGGAAGCGTTCCGGAATGGTAACCCTGAGTAGTACCACAGCGGGTGTAACAGTGGAAAGCGAACTGGCTGGTGCCACTGTAGGGATAGGACTAGGCAATGGATTCTGGTCTGCAGAAGTCGCAGCAGTAGTGAGCGAATGAAGATGTCCCTCCAGCTGAAAATATTCCTCCTGCAGATCCTTGACCACTTGCGTAAGTGCCGTCATCTGTTGGCACAGGGCCTCTAATGTGGAAGCACCTCTCTCGGCCTCAGACATAATGGCTGATTGATACTGTCACGTACCTGGTGAGAGATGCCAATGGAGAGAGGGCTTCCCTTGCGGCTAAGTTCCAGACTCCCCCTGAGAGTGGGACAGCAGGAGTCAGGACCAAAGTGGCACAGGTCACCTGTAGGAGTGCTTGTTGGTGGTCCACCCAGGAGCACAGCTGATGCACTGAGATGAGGTCTGCAGACAGGTGGTGCCTGTGTGAGGTATGAAAGCCCTTCCGGGGAACAGGATTACTGGATAGCCGGTTGAAAGCCAAGGTCTGGTACTGGGTGGAGATCAGAACAGACGTAGTCAGATGGGATAGCCGAGGTCATACACAGAGGAGCAAGAGAGAATAGAGATAGCCAAGCCGAGGTCAGGCACAGAGGAGCAAGAGAGAATATCTGTTAGCCAGCCGAGGTCAGGTCAGGGTTTAAGCAGAGAAGACAGGTCCAGGAGCAAGCCGAGTCAGTAACAGGAAATCAAGATCACAGTAGCACAGGAACAGGAAATCACAGTTCACAGTAGAACAGGAACAAGGTACTGGGGAGCCAAAGATCAACCAGCACTTGAGAGTAGTGCAGGGCTTCCTTATAAAGGCCGTTTGCCACCAAATTTGAGCCAATGTGAACTTCTGCGGCCATGCAAGGTACTGGCAGGGTTGCCAGGTCTCCTAACACCTCTGCCAAGGACAGAGCCCTGACATCTGTCCCCTCTACCCTCTGCACCCGCTGAACTGTGCCCACAGATGGGCAAGCAGAGCCAGAGAGAAGCATAGTAGGTACAGGGAGGTTCACACAGACGGGGTGGCAGAGGCTGGCACCTGAAAGGAGAGCCCTGCGGCTTGCCCTCAGCAGGGATAAAGATTAAAAACAATACTTGCCCGGCCCCCAGAACTACATGTCCCGGGCGTCGGGTGATGTAAAGTGACCATCCCTGCATGATGAGCCGACATTGACCTCACAGCACTGCCTCAGAGCAAACTAGTCATAGGAAGGATCAGATTTATCATTCCTTGTCTGCAGATCTAAAACTCATCAAAACCAGTTCAGAGACCAAACAAACCCAACAGAGAAAAGGGCCCCCGGACCTCAAAATTGTAGTAAACACTAAACAGTCCCAAACAAAATGTCTTCCCATGGGGGGAGTAGTTCTTCAATGTCCAGCAACCCTCCTATTCCCCCCTCACATCCACATCCTATTATTGTGTGACCAATACCATCCAAATCATTCTTACTTTCATTTCCCAAAGTTATCCGTCTACAAGGAGACCTGTATAGATCACATGATGGCACCAATGAGGATGGAGGAGGACCGGAGTCACATGACTGAGAAGATACTAAACCTCACCCTGGAGATCATCTACCTGCTGACCGGAGAGGTGAGGAGGATTCTGGGAGGTCACATGACATCACTCTTATCTCTATTAATAAAACACAGACCTGACCGGAGAGGTGAGGAGGATTCTGGGAGGTCACATGACATCACTCTCATCTCTATTAATAAAACACAGACCTGACCGGAGAGGTGAGGAGGATTCTGGGAGGTCACATGACATCACTCTTATCTCTATTAATAAAACACACTGACCGGAGAGGTGAGGAGGATTCTGGGAGGTCACATGACATCACTCTCATCTCTATTAATAAAACACAGACCTGACCGGAGAGGTGAGGAGGATTCTGGGAGGTCACATGACATCACTCTTATCTCTATTAATAAAACACAGACCTGACCGGAGAGGTGAGGAGGATTCTGGGAGGTCACATGACATCACTCTTATCTCTATTAAAAAACACAGACCTGACCGGAGAGGTGAGGAGGATTCTGGGAGGTCACATGACATCACTCTCATCTCTATTAATAAAACACAGACCTGACGGAGAGGTGAGGAGGATTCTGGGAGTCTAACATGATATTCCTATTGGTTCCTCAATACAGAGATTTCCTCTTCTGAAGTCAGGTGATCATATGACCATCACAGTGCCTCCATGTGACTCCCTAAACCCTGAGAGACACAACATGCAGAAGATTCTAGAAGTCACCAAGAAGATGATGGAGCTGCTGACAGGAGAGGTGAGCGGTGCCGGGGAATTCTGGGACATTCTCCAATCACTGATCATTATCAGTATCATTAGGATCTGTACATTATCTGCATTGTTACCATTGATGTCATTTTTATTATATATTCAGAGTGGAAACCTGAGAGATCTAAAGTTGAGGTTAAAGAAGAGATAAAAGAGGAGGAGGATGAGGATGGGGGGATGGAGGAGTCAGAGCTTCTAAAAGACACAAAGATCTGTACCAGGACACCATGGTGGAGTCATCCAGCTACAGGAACCCACCAGAGAGATGTCCCCGTCCTCTGTATTCCCGGGATTCCACACAGGAAGGTCACACCATCCCTCACCATCATCAGGTAGATGAGGAACAATCACTGATAGTATCATTAGGATCTGTACATTATCTGCATTGTTACCATTGATGTCATTTTTATTATGGACACAAAGATCTGTACCAGGACACCATGGTGGAGTCATCCAGCTACAGGAACCCACCAGAGAGATGTCCCCGTCCTCTGTATTCCCGGGATTCCACACAGGAAGGTCACACCATCCCTCACCATCATCAGGTAGATGAGGAACAATCACTGATAGTATCATTAGGATCTGTACATTATCTGCATTGTTACCATTGATGGGTTTTGTATTATGCATTCAGAGTGGAATCCTCGGGGATGATAATATTGATGTTAAAGAAGAGTATAAAGAGGAGGATGAGGAGTATGGAGTGATGGAGGAGTTTTCAGAAGGACACAAGGATATGATGGAGCCACCTAATACCAGGAACCCACCAGAGATACAGTTGCAAGAAAAAGTATGTGAACCCCTTGGGATTACGTGGAGTTTTGCATGAATTGGGCATAAAATGTGCTCTGAACGTCATCTAAGTCACAACAATAGAAGAACACAGTCTGCTGAACATAATACTACACAAACATTAGATGTTGCCATGGTTTAATTGCACATAACATGTAAACATTCACAGTGCAGGGAGGAAAAAGTATGTGAACCTTTGGACTTAATAACTGGTTGACCCTCCTTTGGCAGCAATAACCTCAACCAAACGTTTCCTGTAGTTGCAGATCAGACCTGCACAACGATCTGGAGTCATTTTTGGACCACTCCTCTTCACAAGACTGTTTCAGTGTAGCAATATTCTTGGGATGTCTGGTGTGAATCGCTCCTTAAGGTCATGCCACAGCATTTCAATGGGGTTGAGGTCAGGACTCTGACTGGGCCACTCCAGAAGGCGTATTCTGTGCTGTTGCAGCCATTGTTTTGTTGAATGACTTGTATGCTTTGGGTCATTGTCCTGTTGCATCACCCATCCTCTGCGGAGCTTCAGTTGGCGGACAGATGGTCGTATGTAGTTTTTTCCTGCAAAATGTCTTGATAAACTCTGGAATTCATTTTCCCGGGCATCAATGACAACAATCCGTCCAGGCCCTGAGGCAGCAAAGCAGGCCCCAAACCATGATGCTCCCTCCGCCATGTTTCACAGTGGGGATGAGGTTTTGATGTTGGTGTGCTGGGCCTTTTTTTTTCTCACACATAGTGTTGTGTGTTCTTCCCAAACAACTCAATCTTGGTGTCATCTGTCCACAGTATATTTTGCCAGTAGTGCTGTGGAACATCAGGTGCTCTTTTGCAAACTTCAAACGTGCTGCAATCTTCTTTTTGGACAGCAATGGCTTCCTCCGTGGTGTCCTCCCATGTACTCCATTCTTGTTTCATGTTTTCCTTATTGTAGATGTGTCAACAAAAAATGTTAGCATTGTGCCAGAGATTTCTGTAGGTCTTTAGCTGACACTCTGGGATTCTTTTTACCTCATGCAGCATTCTGCGCTGTGCTCTTGCAGTCATTTTTACAGGACGACACGCCTAGGGAGAGTAGCAACAGTGCTAAAATTTTTCCATTGTAGACAGTCTGCTTACCGTGGACACAGGAACATCAAGGATCAAGGAGATACTTTTGTAACCCTTTCCAGCTTCATGCAAGTCAACAATTCTTGATGGTAGGTCTTCTGAGAGCACTTTTCTGCGAGGCATGGTCCACATCAGAAAGTGCTTTTTGAAACCAGCTGTTACCAAAATAGGTGTCCCATACACTCAATACCCATCACACTGATTGGAGTCAAGGTTGGCTCAGATAGCTGGGCTCCAATGGGACCTCTGGGACTAATATTCTAAGTTTACTGAATACATTAATCTAGGGCCTCACATACTTTTTCCTCCCTGACCCCTGTGCAATGTTTACTATGTGTACATTACAATCTAAACCTGGCAACATCTAATGTTTGTGTAGTATTATGTTCAGCAGACTGTGTTCTTCTACTTGTTGTGTTACTTAGATGACGTTCAGAGCACTTTATGCTCTATGTTTCATGCAAACTCCACCTGCACTATATCCCAAGGGGTTGTACATTACTTTTTCCTGACCCCTGTATATATTATGTTGTACATTTCATTTTCCTGGTTTAGGGTGAAGACTATATAGATATAAAAGTTGTAGCATTACATAGAGAAGAACCCCTGCATGTGAGGGATATAGCAGTCTATGTTGTACATTACATACTCCTGGACCCCTGCACTATTTATATGTTGTACACTCCTACAGAGATCTGACCCCTGCACTATATACACTCTATGTGTACATTACATACTCCTGACCCTGCACTATATACTCTATGTTGTACATTACATACTCCTGACCCCTGCACTATATACTCTATGTTGTACATTACATACTCCTGACCCTGCACTATATACTCTATGTTGTACATTACATACTCACTGACCCCTGCACTATATACTCTATGTTGTACATTACATACTCCTGACCCCTGCACTATATACTCTATGTTGTACATTACATACTCCTGACCCCTGCACTATATACTCTATGTTGTACATTACATACTCCTGAACCCTGCACTATATACTCTAATGTTGTACACTTACATACTTCCTGAACCCTGCCTTATATACTCTATGTTGTACATTACATACTCCTGACCCCTGCACTATATACTCATGTTGTACATATACATACTCCTGAACCCTTGCACTATATTACTCTATGTTGTCATTACATACT